GTATAGAGGGCGCACAAGGGGCACTTGACAGATTAGCAAGTTCTATCGCTCCTTTCGGCCTGTGCTTTGCACCTTCAAAGTGCAAACTGATGATGCAAGACTGGGTGTCATCGAGTTCTGTTCTGAAACTAGAGGGTCAAGAATTAACCGAAGTTGACTGCTTCTCGTACTTAGGTAGCTGCATGACCAACGACAGCAGGGCATCAAAGGAAATAACCGCCCGCATTTCCAAGGCTCGAGCAGACTACGCAGGACTTAAACACCTGTGGTGACGACGTGACGTTTCACCGAAGATGAAGCGTATACTGCGCCGCTGTACGATTAGTTCTGCTTTACGGTTGTGGGACCTTGAATTTGCAGATAGAAGACATCCGTTGTGTAGCAGTTTTCGACAATCGATGCTTATTTATTCTAGCCCAAGTTGGCTGAAGTGAGCGGGTTAGTAACTTAGAAGTAAGTCATCGGGTGTTTGGGAATGCATCGAACAAGAACTCGCTGTAGCATCAAATTCAACTGAATAGGCTCCTTTGGTTAGGACACGTATTGCGTATGTCCGGCGGTCGCCTACCACAGCGCTCCTTGCTTGCAGTGGCTGTTACAGGTTGCGGAAAACCACGTGGAGGCCAGCAGATGACGTGGAGACGAGGCATGAAGAAATGCACAGAGCGACTAGGTAGAGTAGGTGTCTCTCATCTTCCGGGTTGAGATTCAAAAGACTCCGAAACCACATTGTCTATGTTGTTGGACAACCAGGGAATTGAAACGATGACATGAATTATACTCACGAAACGGTTAATCATACCCAATCTCTTCGGCACGTCTACAAGATGCAGAATAAACGCTAATGCGCACACACCGATCTTCAGTGAACAGCTACTTATGTGAGTACGCTCCGGGGCAAAGGTACCGAAAAACGGACCTTTTCGTGCAAATTATTAATGGCATGTCCCAATTTCACCCTTTTCAATAAAAACTAAAAGTACAAATTTCATATCCTCTTTTATCTGATCTTTTTTGGGTGGTGGGGCTTATCTGGAAAAGATCCGGCTCATCTTTTGGAGCTTCATGTCACTTATTTTGTTTGATTCCATAAACTTTGATCATATTCTCTCTTTGACACAGCGGTGAAATTTCCCCTTTTGAAGCTCCTTTATTGTAAGGTGTATTCGACAGCCAAACGCTGTCATATTCCTATTTGATGCACTTTTATCTGGAAGTGCCTTGACGACTGTCCTAACCCAGATACCTCATGAATCAGGGTTTGTATATAATTTATCATGTCATTAATTAATTCGCATTAACAGTAATGTATCATGAGACAGTCTTGATTTTCGGTGCATTGGAACCGGGACTTTGCGCGTCACTTATCGCCAGTTTTAACACGGGAAGGTGGTCCATTCTAATTTCGCAGAAAAGGAATTAACAAAACAGGGATCGAGTTTCTGATATTCAAACCTGCAACTGGTTTTCGTGGTATTAAATATGACTCAATTAGTGGTGCCCCAAGCTGCGATGGCACTCAGGGCTGAATTGGGTGAAACACATGCAGTCAATCGATCTAGAGTAATGGTGCTATAAAATGCACGAAAAGTGTTTGAAGAAAGAGAAACGCGTAGAATAGCATCATGGGGTGAGAGGGCGGAGTATGGTATGCTCGGGAGTAACGGATCAGTTAGGGCACGATCACGGTATTGTGATAAGTAACCGTGAGTAAGCTGATAATTACCGTTTCCCCCGTCCCTAACCTTCCCAATTGGGCTGATTTCGACCTGTTAGGGGAATCTCGTTCATGATTCCGATTATGTTCTCCAAGTTGACCTTATGGTCGGTTAGCGAAAATCACAGCCGGGGCAGAAACTCCGGAAGTTGAGCAACAAACTACTTTCCACTTCTGACAGCTATGGAATTTAGCCTATCTCTCGGTTCATCTTTTCTTTTAGTGAATTTGCTGTTAATTCTACCCAATTTCTCCTCTAGTCAATAATAATTACACCAAAATGGCGATGTTTTATGTGATTTTTACCTACTGAACGTGGGATGAACTTGGCGACCTAAATTTTTGTGTCGCGTTGTCGCTCTTTAATCGATCTAAAGCAACCCGGTTGTGAAGATCGACCACAGTAGAATCTGCCAGTCTGTTGATTTGGCCCTAATCTGTGGGCATCAAAGAGCTTAGTTAACGCGCTGATTGTTTGAGTATAGTGCGGACCCCGGAGCTAAATGGTGCATACTGTGAGCTATAACAGTTTTAACCGTCTTTGTCATGAAAGGTATTATGGTGTTACGGTGGAGAATTCGCCCGAATTTACTCTTTTCCGCATGTAGATCACAATCTGAAAGATCGCATGTTCCAGACGATGACAAATAAAGCTTAATGTGACTTAACTTGACTTAAAATGATTTTCACAGAACAGGTGGAGTTTTCCGAAGAAAAAAATCACTCGGGTATACCTGAACGAAAGGGCGAACAACATGGAAACTCCTAACTATAAGAAACTCGGCCAACTTATCAGGATCATCTCAGCCAGAAGAATACCTGAATTTCCTGTACCCTACCCGTCAATGGAGCAACACAGGAACTCCAAAAGTGAATGGAACATTTTGGTGAACTGCTGAAGCGCCTATCAAGGCAATCATTATCTACCTGTCTCCGTGATCATCTTGCCGTACCTAACTAACTGCGATGCATCCAAAAAGGAAGACATGGCTACCACCATAATGCCATTATTAGTAGCAGAAAGTCTCCCGAGGAGAACGGTATACCTCCGGAGATCTCCGAATCCTACTGACCGATGCTAAGTGACCCGCTGCATTCATCGTTTCATATCATCTGGGAATCCGTTATCCTTCCAATGCACTAGGCCACCTCCATTCTGATCTGCATTCTTGAATAATACAACAAAACAGCTTACGATACTCACAAGGGAATTTGCCTGACTGCTAAACTCTGCGGTGATCCTTCTGAATCGGTCGTTATCGATCACTGCTTCCGGCACTACATCATATCACAAAGACGGTTGTGTGGACTAAATGTGCGAAGGGAGAAAGATCATGGAATACGGGTCGCACCTGAATCATCAACTGTTATTAGGCTGTACGCTAATCATGATGTCCAAAGTTGATTTTTAGTGAAAATATTCTTCTAAACAGTGGAATATATGAAATCGCCTGCTGCCAGTTTTGCATTTCTGCAGCGTAACCTGAGGGATCAGTGTAACCGGCGTTCCCAACGAGCAACCAAAACTGTGGCACGAAAGTGCATGAATAGTGTTGTAAACTGTAACTGAAACTGTCACGAATCAATGAAATACTCCTGTCAGTTTTCAGTGAGACTTTGCTCATCTGAGTGATGTATGATTGGGTAGATGGTTTATATTTGTGCCAGCGCATCAGTAGCATTTTGTGGGAGATTGGTAGTTGGTATTGATGAGCTTACTAAACATTGATTTTCTCTAGTCAACTGACAGCAGTGATTATCACATATCCTAATCTAACTTAGCTGGTCCGAATATCGTGTCGTCAAAATGCAGAAATTGTCTTTGTGAAAGCAGAAGGGATTTGTGCAAAATCAGCAGTTGATCTAGTTTCTCATGTCAACTTAGATGTGGCTTGTTTCTCCAAGTTCCAGGATTCAGTTTACCGGTTATCCTAAATGAACTCTGGATTCTCGTAACTATGGGGTTTACCCCCTCCGCTGGTGCTCATCATGCTATCGGGTGTGTACTTAAACCAAGTTACTGATTCTCAGGACTGAACGACAGATTCCTGACTTTTAACTTTTCCATCACACTAAGGTGTGACTAAAGCAGTCTGTTTATCCACTAATGATTTTAAATGCTCATCTGTTCTAATTGATAGCGAATTCTGATCAATAAAAAAATCGATTTGCTTTTTTTGGGAGAAATTGCAAGTAATAGTGAATGCATTCGATAGTCATAGTCAAAGTTTTATTATGGCAGTTACCTACAAGCTTAAGGTTATTTTCACGGTGTAATCATTTCTCGGCGGAAGTCTGTAATGGTACACTGTTTCGGGTATGCAGCTATCACATGATGTGGCATTCCTCCACCCCGGTGCCTTTTTGGTTGTGTTGAAGTATGCTGCGTGCCAGGGTTTCATCAAGTTTCCGCCGGAAAGATTTAACATTTGACGACTTAAGATGGGAGAGCGTTCCAAATGGTGCACATTCGGTCGCCATATATTTGACACCGGCACTCTAGGCAACGTTTTTGTAGCACTAACTTTAAAGGTTGTCCGCTGCGGTGGATGTTGATCGATAAAGTGTGCATTGAACGACATGGATGGTTTGGATTCTGTGATGTTTGATGCATCGAAATCAAGTCTCCTCGCATTATACCGTACTGAATGGAACAGAGTCCCGGTGATTGCAAGCGCTTTATGTGGATGTGATAGCCATTCACTGGCCTGTTTGGTGGTTATCCTTTGTTGACGTTCCATTTTCGTTTGCTGCCTGGCGTTGTTCTGTGCCTCCGACGGTTTTGATGGATGACCACTGTGTGATACGGTGAGCCGCGCTTTATGTGAGTCAGTCGGAATAGTCCAAGTGGACAACGCGTCAAACTAACAGATCTCTGTGCACAATAATTGTGGAAATTTATTATTACTTCTTGCCTTCTATCACTCAGTGTTTCTTTGGGTTCACGACACACAACACTCGAGCCATCTTAGATAATTTTGTTCACTGTTTTCGGAAGCTCATCAATGGTGTCTTGACAAAAATGTTTTATTTTGGGGAATAAATAGGCCATTTGTAATGTACTGTATAGTGTAGGATGTTTGTTTCGCCACCATCCCGTTCGTAGTTCGAGCGTTTTATTTGGTCAAATCTCTTCACATACTTCGTTTCTCTCGGTCGTTATGTAGTGATGTTTCGGACTTGAAAAAACTACTGTGTTCAAATTATTCGAGTGTTTTTATTCTTTGTTTGTACTTCATTCCCGGTTCAAATTACTTTTTCACCTCGTGCCCACATTGTACAGGCGGACTGGTCAAACCTGAATGCCATTTTTAAGCGCCTCACTCAGGATGGACTCCCGGTGTCGAAGAATCTCTATTTCTTCGGCTTGGAGTGTTTGGGTCGTCTGCTACGCAACGCTACTTCCGTCACTCTTGCTCCGTCACACACTCCCTACAGTCCAGCTGCAGCGACCTCCTTGGTAAAAGTGGTCGCACAGAAGACGTCAAATCAACGAGATTTGGAGCGTCGGGTTATGGACGTACTGAATAAGCTGGTTAACCGAATGGAATCGGAAGTATGCCGATTGTTTTCCGCGCCCCCCCCCCATCCACTCCATGCACTTTTCTCTGTCCTGTCACCAACATGTGTCTTGTTTTAGAATTATTTCACACCTTTGTAAACATCTGTTCTATGTCCGGGTATGATAGGATAAAGCTTATTCCATTCACTGTTGAAAAGCTTGGACAGGATTGTTCATCTTTTGCATTCTATAAAATCCTGAATACGTATGGCTGGGTGCGACGCAGTCGGGCTTGATTGATTATCAGTCACCAGAGGGTTGTGGACTAAGCATCTCATTCACTTTCCCATGAAGTATGTAGACTTCCGTTTACCATAATGTGATAGTTGTTGAGCTCTGATTTTTTTTTACCCTCATCGCATAACGCAAATACACAGTGTATGGTGCATATCTGGTGCATATTTAAGGTGTTTTTTTGCATCTGATGGTTTACAAATGACGAAATCGGACTTTCCATCCACTCTCATTCTCCTGGCATTTGGAATCACAGGGACACGATATTACTACCGGTTTGATGGAATTACCGCGCTCCACCGAAACACTTGGTCATATTATGTTTGCGCTCAGTCGAGTTCGTCCCGACGCGCAGCCCAATTTGTTCTACCTCCCGGAGTTGATGCACACGGGCACCGGTTCATCGAACTCCATCACGACTGTGTCAGAACAAACCTATTCCGTGGAGGCACACATGCGAAGTGTTCCGGTAAGTTGATTTCACGGGGACCGGTTGCCAGTTGACACTCATATCGTCAATTCATANTTCCGTTTTCCACTCAATCTGGTTCTGATTCTCTCACGGACTGGGAAAAAAATTATGCTACAGGAAAGTAGTGGAGTATTTGTTTCGATGATATGAAGAATTTCGTCGTGCACAGCACAAATGAAATATGAACGGAAATGCTAAAAATCTCTGTACTTCTCGCTGATATGATACTCCGTCGACTATCTGCCACACGTGAACGGTACGCACGTGAGAATCAGGCTGGTTTTAGGCCTGGTCGAGGTTGTATCGACCACATCTTCACTCTTCGTCAGATTCTAGAACTCAGATACTCCTTCCATAGACCCACCGCTGCTATCTTTATCAATCTGAAAGCGGCTTTCGACTCAGTCGATCGCTCTAAACTCCGGCACTGCCTCACTTTGAATGATGTGCCCGAGAAATTTATTTCAATATTACAATCCTTTTATACTAATAGCCGAGGCCGAATCCGAGCCTACAGCACTTTTTCGTCCGACTTCACCATGGAAAGTGTTGTTCGTCAGAGTTGCCCTATCTCTCCTTGTCTATTTATCTTTGTCATAGATTTGGTCATGGAAACATCCTTATCCTCGTGTGAGGATAGTGGCATCGATTTGCTCCCAGATGACTAACTGTCTGATCTGAATTAGCCAGACGACATTGTGCTACTAAGTGATGATCCAGCTAAGTTCGAAGTGCTAGTGTATCTATGTTTGGTATGCGTCTTGCCCCTTTAAAGTGAAAAATGTTACTGTAAGATTGGGTTGGCCCATCCCGCAACCTCACCTTGACTGGGGAGGTCTTAAAGAAAGTGGACAAATTTTGTTATTTCGGCAGCTATATCCCACTTGGCGGACGCGTCACAGATGAAGTGTCGGCATGCACACAGAAGGCTCGATTGACATTCGCCAACTTGAGACATTTGTGGTGCCGTCGCGACACCCAGCTCTCTGTGAAGGGTCCCTGCAGCAATTCGGCTAGTTCTGCTCTACGGTGCAGAGCTTGGTCGTACCGGGAACAGGCTGAAAGTAGATTGTCGGTGTTCGAACACCGCTGTCTAAGTCGCATTGCACTAGTCTGGTGGGAGAACGGGGTAGGCAATTCTAAGGTTATACGTAGAGTTTTAAGTAACCGCGATCGTCAACTGGAACAAGTTGTCGACCTCCATAGATCACGCTGTTTGGGACGTGTGTTGTGCATGTCACCAGATAGGTTGCCACGGTGAACGGTGTTTGCCGAGGGAAAAAGATCAAGGGCGATCCAACTAAGACCTGGTATAAAGGTATGAAAATCCTAATCAGGAGACTGGGTCACATAGGTCCTGTTAGGCTCCCTGGATAAGGATCATAGTTATCGTTGGTTAGAGACACTGAGTGATATGGCTGGGTGTCGCAAACAGTGGCTCTCATGCATCTGCTCATTATTCTTGTAACCCCTGTCTTTATAGATTCTGTATCTTGTATTTGACTCTGCTCAAAATTCCGCTGTTCATTCAGCTCTTTTATCCAAATTAGCAAGCAAAAGACCAACCAAAGCAGGCGCACGAGAGTGCATGGTTAATGTTTGTAAAAGCATAAATAACCAGGTTTTAATTGGCAGAGTCGGTGCCCACACACGTTCCAGGGTGAATCGTAGCTGTAACTTCGTGTCCTTATGATGATAGTCTTTTTTCGCCCAGTACTAGCAGTTTTCTTTTTTGTGATTCAATCGTTTTGCGATACAAGGAGATTGAATATGAAATTGTGAATTCCTCAGTTTTCTCGGAAGCGTCTGAATAGCTTCACAGGGGCTCGGATCCATCAAACTCTCGTTGGAGCTCTTACCATGAATGGTAGCAATGTGTGCTGAAAAACAGCATCCCGAAATCAATGGGTTTAGTTTTACCTGTTTTGTGGCTCTTACTCGCTTCTAACTCTTCTCTGATCCGTTTTGCCGAAGGACAATAACCAAAGTCAGTACATTACAACGCTATGGAAATGGCTCTAAAGTGAAACATACCCTATACAACAGTGATAATGCAGGTTTTCGTCCAATCACAAACATGACCAGTTGGATCGGATACTGTCCTGTCGTCCGGCAAAATGGATTCACTCACCATTATTTACTTGAATCAGTTCATACATCATCACGTACGAATTTGGGGATCTAATGCACCGAATCAATGAGAATAATGACAGTGATCCATACTGGAAATCTGGGGCTGTCAAGTCGCTTCAGTAGCTGTGACTCGCGTGTTTCTTCCCAAAGTATGCGTCCAGTGTATCAGCGTTTTCCAGTTCACCACTCCAATTCCGCGGGTTTAGGTTTTCAGTTACCAAAGGGAAATAACAAACCACTCTTCATCGTACAATGGTGTTTCATATAGAATATGAAATTAATACGGAATAATACGCATCAAGTGTAAGGGGCAAAATGCATATCGGATATGCGATGATAACCGAAAAATTGATCCTATGATTCCAGGGTGATTGGATCGATCACTCGGATGCTACTTCCCAGCCTGATCAGGTACCTTCCTAAGATGTTCAGACTCTCCCTCTTCGGTAACTGACAAGTAAATGATGAGGCTTTTTGTTCGCCTCCTCTGCGTTCTCTCCAAATGCACGCAACCCGACTGTGTACTTGCATACACTGGACAAATAAGCACGGTTCACACACAATACTCGTCGTATAATCCTAATAACGTATAGACAATATGCGTGTGTGTGAATATCCATGCACCAATCTTCAGCGCTTCACATGAACATAATCTTCAAAGGATTCCACTTTCTGAGTTTCGCTGCGACTCATTCTTCACCCAGTCGTCCGTAATCATCAGTGTGTGTATCGTAAAGCGACCAGTGAATGGCTCACCGAACAATTTATCATCGGTAACTAGTCTTAGTTTTATTCCTACTCCCTAACCGTAGTCGCGTCTGAAAAAACTCATTCTTTTGATTTACACAACGTGACCCTCGTGGCTTTTCACGCTTTCATCCGCGTCGGGATATTTCTTCTTCTTCTTCGTCGTCGTCATCGCACTGCCCAAAGCATGCAATGCGAAATTCGTTTGCCGGAGTGTTTTCCAATTCGGACGAGATGACACAGGCATTGGATGCGCAGTTCTCTTTGGAACGACATGGCGAAGTGCGTATTGAACCCGTTTTACCGCCATTCGCTGTCTCGGACAGAGTGGATCACAAACCGGTCTCTCCCGAGTTGCGAAATAAACTGGTGAGTTAGCTGGCAGTTGTACTGGCTACTGCTCATATTGTGCCTTTGTCCTAAGATGCTTTTTATCAGGTTATATTCATTCCACACTGTTTGCCATCCGTGCTTGTGCGCACGTTTGCGTATATGTGCGTGCGCGCATCGTACCTGATTGATATTTTTCGGTGTAGTTGGTGTCAACAGGGTTCAACCTGACAGCGCTTAAGATTGACTTCTAACCCAACAGAGTATGGGATTCTTCTTTATACTGATCAGCCGGCCGTTACAAGGAAGGTGACGTGGATTTGGCAGTAGATGTTCAGTTCCGTAGCTTTGTTCCACTCAGTCTGAAGGCTGTTACATTGCATCTTGTTGAGACTCATCACACCACTATATCAATGCTTCTTCTCCCGTTGGGTTCATCGAATTGGGCGATAAACTGAATTCAAATGAAGAAATCGTATGGTCCATACTTGTTTCTCTTGTTCTGGACTCAGCTTATAAAACTACGGCCCTGTGTGGAAAGCAACTATGTTGGTGGTTGTTTCAGTCGTTCGTCAGTCTTCTTCAGACTAAGGTATTGCTCAGTTTGTTTCACCACCGCGTACCGGGAATGTTTAGAAGGTGAATAAAACTGTCGAAGGTGATCGTAATTCGGTTACAAAACGGAACATGACAAAGGGTGGCATTGTATACCAGCTCTGTCAGAGTGAGAGGTCCTTTAGTTTGACGTATATATCTGTATCTGATTTGTAGCGTCACGAACAGCTCCAGTATTACATCGGATTGTGATCAAATAAATCCAAGTAACTGCGGATTGCAGAAACAGGTTTCTCCCACCTCATGTTTGGGCTGCGTTTCCACTTGGAATAAAGTCCATACCACAAATTGGCCATCTCTGATAGCACTCATTTTCCATATATTGTTCATTCGCATTTAATTCACAATAACTTGTGAGTAGTGGTATGGGATGATTGATATTGATTTGAACTGACTATCCTTCGGACTTCACCTTCACGCACAGTCCTCAGTTCATCGATTCAACCTTACATTCGGAAGCACTAGACTCGAGTTTCACTCTTATTAGAGCTCATCAGTAGTGCATATTCACCGTCCCGTTCGGGACTCGAACGCCGGACTCATAGCATGGAACGCGTGTGCGTTACCACCGTGCCAACCAGCTCATGCCGTGACTGAACCAAATAAGCTCTAACATGAGCGAAATTCGAGTCTAGTGCTTCCGAGTGTATGGTTGAATCGATGAACTGAGGATTGTGTGTGAAGGTGAAGTCCGAAGATAGTTAGTTCAAAGCAATAAAGATATTGTTCACTCCATACACGCAAAATTCACTGGAGTGTATGTATACATGATCAAGCCTGTAATTGAATGAAAGAAACGAGGGTGAGAAAATTGTCAGTTATCTATTACTTGAAAGCTGGTTCCAACGTGCTCCGGAAGTAAAGTTAACAGCACCCTTTCTGTCAGGTTCATTTCGGAAACCTCCTTCTCCCTCGATCACAACCGTTTCATACCACTTACAGATTGTCTAGTCAAGAAAGATCGCCAAGGAAACATTCCGAAGAAAATAAGGTAAGACAAAGGCAGGGGGGATTTCGAGCACGTAGCCTACCGGGTTGTTTTCTTTTCAGTATGCAATTGTACTCTGTTCGAGCAGTCCTCTATATACTATGATTTTCCCCACTGACAGCTTCGTGGTTTGATGGCCGAACAAGATCGTTGGCGCACATCAATCAAAATCGGATTTAATGAATTATTACATCGGCTCAAACGCAGTCATTCTCGTAAGTTATCGGTTACTTGCATACACTAAGTGTGCTATGCACAGTCCTTGTGATTCGATAACGTGCATCCATGCAATCATTTTTCATCACAGAGGTTACTGTTGTTCTCTCCAATTTGAGGTCTTATTCAAGTTCTAAAATGTTGGTTCATTTCTCTCTAAATAAATATCTTCCAAATTGCTTCAGTTTCGGATGCTGTCTTTTGACAGTTCTTCGTACTAAGTGATGCAGAACAGATTACTATGAGGTATTTGTTTACCAGATGTATGCTTTTCTAAGGAAATTGTATCATTGATGTGGTTGAGAAAGAACCCCTGGTGTTTCAATATAAAAAAAACTTGAAAAAAAATACCAAAACCAGAACAGTAAATTGCACTATTGGTAAAAGTAAATGTGAACCCCAGCCCACCAGAATATATCACGATTAAATCGGCCATTCGTCATTATTAGGTGCTTCGCACCAGCTCTGATTCCGTTCATTCCATCAAAGTAATGCGCTCCCTACCTGGTACGGATCCCCCTCGACCGTGCACTACCGATGCACACTGCTCAGACTCGTATCGTTCCATTTGTCATTCGTGTCTGAAACCCTGCTTCATTACCACACACAATATCAACTTTTGTGTTCCACACCGGTGGCACAAATACATTACCCACTCCGGATACGTCGTTAATGGTAGTCGGTAGTCGAAAGTCGTCGTCATGCATTCAGACCATATTTCTTTTATCTTTGCTTTACTGTACTCTTGGATCAGGAAATGTACACTCGTGTTTTGCGGATAGTGCCGATACAAAGCGATTTCATCCCAGACATTCCAGCTATCTTTAATTGTAGTTTGTGGCTTTCCACAATCGGCCGACCACTATCAGAGTAACTTTATCACCTAGTCGTTTCGTCGTTGTATTGTTTTATCCACCTGGAAATCGTTGATTTTAGTGTCTCATTCTCTTGCTGTGTCAACGATGAACTTCCCGGATTTTGCCTTACCACTAACCTGATAGCAAACTTGTTGCCCTCTTGCATTTAATTCCAAACTGAAACAGTACGGATACTGAACGGTTGTTTGATCTCATATGTGAATATGTGGTTGACTGAAATGCGTGTTCACGTCTCACTAATGTGGATACAAGTCTATACCATAAGGTGGTGCATCTCTATGCACTTCTGTAATTGTGAGCACAGTTCTGGACGGTTAGACGGATTTGTGCCTGATATGTTCCGTTGAAGTGGTAGCTCTCAGTTGTTTTTTTACCAACAGTGTATGGGACCATCTATGAGTGATGGAAACGAAACTGTGGTTGAATTCACCGAACTTTGGGTTCAGTGTGCATTACTGTCTTTACATGCTGATCATCTCCAAGCCATTAGTTCCATTCGGCCCACAGTTTACTTCATTAGGCAGCTAAACATCTTCTTTATGATCCGCATTTTGCCTCAGCATACCTGTGGAGTCACCATCGATTGGACCGACTGAAAAACAGTAACAGATAAAGCATCCCCTTCACAACCGACAACTGTTATACTGACTAGCTTTATTTATCCTGAACAGTAGGTACCACAGGTTTCTGTGGGTCACGTCCTTTCCAGCGTGCACTACATTAAATCACTTATTTTTCTTTTCTACACCCAGGCGACAAAATCACAGTATATCCGTTTTTGAAAATTCTCCCAGTCTCGCAATATGTCGATCTAATGATCAAGGTAAGATGTTGACAAAAATTATATCGATCGTTTGAACGATTTCTTCAATCTCCTCTCATTCCCAAGTACTTTTTGTCTGTCCATTCCCCGTTTTTGTAGTGTTCCCCTATGTTCACATACGTTGGTTGTGTTATATGATGACCGGATTCCTGAACTCAGCTGAATCCGTCATCAAATCAGTGGGAATGGTTGTTCTGGATCACATGAGGTCTAGTGCCCGTTTGTCTGAGGAGCAACCATGTGTGCACATAAGCAAACTAGCCAGACAGACTCTTGATAGTATCCTCCAGCGATTCGGTTCCATCTACACTCGATTCCATCATCCACATGGAGCGAGGTATATCATCTGATCAATTTTTCCCCCTACCTTGTCCAGGCGATTGACAACATGGTTCTGGACTCAGCTTTGCAACACTGCAACTCCTATTTGGTCTGCCTTCGATTGGGTCAGAGCGTGGAGGCGGCTTGCAGTTTGTACCGTCGAGACCAGCTTGGTGTACTGGCCGAGGTAAGTTTTCTCTCCTCTACTCATTGTCTGTGCAAGTTTGACGATGGTAAACTTTTGGTTATTAACCGTGGCATGATGAACTGTGCGTAGTAGGTAGATCCAAATTTGTCGTCCAGTTAGAGGTGGTGCCAACCTTGAATCCTGGACACTAATTATGCTCGATTATCCAAGGTCTCATTAATTTGTGCTGGGACCCCCGAGCCGCTGATCACTAAAGCTGATTGGTTTTTCTTGTAAGGTGTGTGTGTGCGGGGGGGGGGATGAACTTGTACTTTTCCAAAACTTCGGCTACTGTCAACCATAATCAACCTCAATAAAAAGTGTCATGTACTTAAAGTACATGACACGATCACAGGTTAATGTCACCGTTGTGCCTCACCGGACCATGCCAACGCAAAAGCTGTGGCTGAGAGAACCGAAGTAGGAACAATTTATGGTTCGGTAACACAACCGTATCGCAAAGCGGTTCGATCAACAATCATTTTTTTTATCAAGTACAAATAGTTGTTTGTTAATCAAGCCATGGATTCGCACATTCTTCATTGATGCTTTATGTGGCATTAAGTCCTCACTATTATCCAAACAGATGTACTCAGTCATTTCTCACATTCTGGTCCAGTAACGGTGCAGCAAGCGTGGAAGAGGGGATGGGAGTGGGGTAATTCTATTAGTTTTATCGATCNTTATCGATCACTTCTCTTTCTGAACAGTAGTAATGGTTTTTTTTAGTAACAATATGAACCGAGCTCCATCCCCTATCCAATTATCTCTGCTCAATGTGTTAACACAATTTGCCGTTTTGTTCTTTCTCTTCTTCGATCTAATACTACTATTGGTATGTTCCACAAAAGATGTCTGGCTCTATGGTGACAGTGCTCGTTCCTCTTGTATTCGTTGATTTTTTTG